TTTGTATTTCAAGAAAAAAAGAGCAGGAAGCTTCCTCACCCCATTGGTCACTTCTGCTACACTGTCAGTCAGTGAAACACCTGAAGAATGGTTGAGGACAAAACAGTGATACGTTCATGTCACGTCGTGTCAGTGATAATGTCACGCTCACATCACACCCCTATGCTATTTACACAACAATGCTGCTGCTGGGTGTTTATATAAACAAACATCATGAGTCCAGACTAAACACATTTTTTTGTTTTTATAAAAAAAAACCTTGGTTACTTTTATAGCACTTCTTGACTGAATAAATCTTCAACACTGACCTCATGTTTACAGGCTGCTGCTCTTCCTCTTGTTTGCTCTGTTTAACCTCACAGCTGTGAGGATGAATGAACCAAACCTTCTCTGTTACAGTACCATCCAAACTGTGAGAATCAGCCACCTGCCACTGTCAGAGTCACACTGATTAAACTGCTGGAGCCGCTTAAACTAACTGTGCCGTCACAATGGGAAAGGGAACAAACAGAAAGAGGCAGCAACACTCAGATAGCTGCAATTTTTTTTCTGAATCCTAATGTCTGCAACAAATGCAGATACTTGAAGGAGAAATCCAACTGCTGTTGAAGGTCCCTACAGTATGCAAATGGGGAAACTGGACGTTTTGCTCCAACACAAAAACTCAAAAATGTGTTCTAACCACAACGCAACATAAATTGGTTTCTTTACAGAAATGATTGTGCACAATCTTCTGGGTAATTACAAAAGAACACTCTAAACAAAGTGTTTAAACAATAAACACATTGCTGTTGCCATGTTGTGTTGCACTTGTGAAGATATTTGATCATCTTTAGGGATAAAAGCTCTGTTTAATGGTCTGCAGGTGTAGGTTTATTCTTTAATCGTAAGGAAGAAATAATAACCTCCCCCTGAAAATACCAAATAAAAATGAAAAAGGAAGACTGGTCTGTCTAAATAATTCGATTTCATAACACTTTGCTTACTCTGGCTTTTATTTTTATAAAGCCGTTCAATAATTTCTCATCCTGTCACATTCCAGGCTGCATGTCAACATTACTTTCTTGGCACTTTGGGTAGATCTCACCATGGCGAGCTGGACTAACACATGTGACTTCTGATTCTGAAAAAAATGGTGGAGCTGGAGGATAAAAACCATTGGCCCAGATATAAAATACAAGCTGTTTTTTTCTTTACTTTTCTTGGTCGAGCTA